TTGTTAAATTTTATTAATATTATATATTTTACTTATTTAAATTCAAATACTACATAACTAAAAACTAATTTAAGTTAATAAAATATATATTAACTTTTCATCCTACATACCATATATCCACAAACACAGTACATATATATAAACATATATAATATAAGTTTCAAATATCAATGTCTCTAACTATGAGGTGGGAAGTGATCAGGTCTAAATCCTTCAAAAGAAGGATCAACAGTCTGAGGTGGTGCAGAAGAAGGATAACCAGTCTGAGGTTGTGTAGCATTCATAGAGTATTGCTGGCTAAGTAAGCGCATGTGCTCTTGAAATCTCCTCTCAAAGCTGGCCTCCATCTTTGATATTCTCTGTGATACCTCTGTATGAATACGTGCGGCCACCTCTGTCTGAACTCGCTTAGTCATTTCTTTTCTTCCCGAACTTGAGTAAGCTCAGACTACAACTGTTGAACCTGTGTCGTAAGAATCTTGGTGGTAGAAGAGGAGGTGTCACTCATGTCATATCGTCGCCAAGGGATGCCATGCTCTGTTGGATCCTGTAATGTAGACATCCCTCTCATTTGACCCTTTTTAGGAGGTCCAACCACCTCTTTCCAGATAAGTGGATCCCATTCTGGCCATGAATCCTTGTTTGGCCCATGCTTCTCCACATATTTTTGGTGAGCATTGTTCTGTTTCAAAAATAAAATTTTCATTAGTAATTTCAAATGATAATGGAAAATCAAATGAAAAATAATTATTTACTAAATACAATGGATAAAAATTTGTATCGCTTTTCTTCTTTTATGACAATATGACATTAAAAATAAATAAAATTAATATCATAAAAGAATCAGATTCGATTCGTACATATGTTTGCTCAGCCTGTGGACATATCTAAGCGGGTGGGGCATCTTTTGGAGCATCAGGTTGGCGAGTCGTGTGAGTCAACAAGTACGACTCTAAAGGTGTCGGCCTAACTCCTCATCTTTTAGCTACCTATTAAAACATCAATAAAATCAATAACATTTCCATTTTTATGGTAAAAAAAAAATTATATATGTATATATATAAGTATATCTTACTAACCAGTTGATCCTCATGGATCCCAATAGAAAGGCATCCAGTTGTGTGGGTCACACGGTCACCCTTTGATCGGTTTTGCCGACCTCTTTCCTGGAGTGCAATATATTTTGGACTCATCCATTTTGCCAACAAAATTTTAAAGGTATCCTTATGCATGAACTCGGGCAACTTCTTCTCCCTGACCCACGCCTTTCGAGCACGATGAAGCTCGTCTCGAAAACGATTTCGACAATGTAATCTCCAGATTTTATACACACGAGCATCATCCTCTTCCCAATAATATGTCCTCTACAATGAAAAAGAAAAAATTAAATGTTAATAATTTATTTGATTTTTCCTTAAAAAAGAGCAAAATTTTGCTTAAATTGTCATTTTTTTCACTATTATAAATAAAATATAAAAAATCATATAAAATATACCTTGTACTTCCATATCAAATACCATAAGAGTAAGGTGCTAGCATCTAAATAAATTATCAAAAAATACTTCATTTTATTCTATAATTTTCATACCTGAAAATTCTTCCAAGCAACCCTCTTCTTTTCCTCAAGCCAGCTAGACCAGAAAAGCACTGGCTCATCATACAAGTACTTCCAAATTACTGTGGTAGTCCTCCCAAACCTCTCATGGCTGAATGTGCCTCGGCGATTAAGGCTAAGCACCTTCCTTTGACTCGAGTCTGCAGGAGCGTCATCTCCTTTATCCATGCCACGTCCTGTCTTCAGGACAGCATGTCACGCCCCAACCCCAAGGTCAAGACGTAACAAATGCCACAAATCTATAGGGATGACCCCATAAATGTGTAAGGCTACCTTAACTAAACAACTTTTAGTGTCCAAATGCAATAAAATTAAATTCTATAACAAACTCCATC